ATGCTTCAACACCTAAGGTCTTTCACCGCTGTTTATTGTTTGTTTACACTGTTTATATATTCGAGTTGAGACAAACAACCTCTCAGCACCACGAAAGACCAAGATGTATATGTTGTTGTTCTGTAGTGAAACAAAAACAATAACATATAAGCATTGTTTCCTATACCTACAAATAAACAAAAATATTAATTGATTTTTGTTGTTTAAGTTTGGACGTGTTAGCTTATGAAACCATCTACCTGCTTCTGTCACAAAGATTCTTATACACTGTATCTACGTAAACCACCTCTTAGTATTAGACAATGATCAATAATATTTACTGTAATTAATGTTGTTTTTATAGGATCACTTGAAGATTATCCTCCTCCAGCTTATTTCACCTAAAGGTTAACTATCCTATCCTAACCTAACGCTAACCTGACCTATCCTATTCCAACCTAACGCTAATCTGACCTATCCTATCCTAACCTAACGCTAACCTGACTTATCCTATCCTAACCTAACGCTAACCTGACCTATCCTATCCTAACCTAACGCTAACCTGACCTATCCTATCCCAACCTAACGCTAATCTGACCTATCCTATCCTAACCTAACGCTAACCTGACTTATCCTATCCCAACCTAACGCTAATCTGACCTATCCTATCCTAACCTAACGCTAACCTGACCTATCCTATCCCAACCTAACGCTAACCTGACCTATCCTATCCTAACGCTAACCAGACCTATCCTAACCTAACGCTAACCTGACCTATCCTAACCTAACGCTAAACTGACCTATCCTATCCCAACCTAACGCTAACCTGACCTATCCTATCCTAACCTAACGCTAACCTGACTTATCCTATCCTAACCTAACGCTAACCTGAGCCTATCCTATCCTAACCTAACGCTAACCTGACTTATCCTATCCTAACCTAACGCTAACCTGAGCCTATCCTATCCTAACCTAACGCTAAACTGACCTATCCTAACCTAACGCTAACCTGACCTATCCTATCCTAACCTAACGCTAACCTGACCTATCCTATCCTAACCTAACGCTAACCTGACCTATCCTAACCTAACCTATTGTAACTTAACCAAACCAAACCTAACGCTAACCTAACCTAACCCATTCTAACGCAACCTACCCTATTATATCCTAACCTATTCTAACCAAACTGACCCTTCCCTAACCTTACCTATTCGAACCTAACTTACCCTCCCTAACCTATCCTATTCCAACCTAACCTAACGCTAACTCTAACCATAATTACCTATTCTAACCAAACTTACCCTCCACTAACCTTACCTATTCTAACCTAACCTAACCAAACCACATCCTCCCCAATAGTGGTATAATGATCAATCTCTGCATAAAGTAAGAGAGAGAGAGAGAGAGAGAGAGAGAGTCAATTGGTCTTTTATTTTGTTTTGGTTTATTTTTAGTTTAGTTTTAACTGTGTACTCGATGATAACGTTGGCGTAATATCTCTTATGATGTATTTAACAACTTTAATATATCCTTAGTGTTATATTCATCAATTTTAACTTATTCACAAGTGACTTTATAATTAACTCCCTGGGTCAATTATTACTATACGGTGGGGAAATAAAGTAATGTAAGTAAAAATAAAATACGAGTTATTGCAAAATTGAGTGAAAGTCGTGAAGAAATTATATGTTAGTGAAAAAATTATGTAAATTAAATAATTAGTAAAGATTATGTTACAAATTAATGAAAAAATATACTTAGTTATTATCTGAACTGATATGAAGACTGGAGGGCAAATATGTTTAAGATAGACAATAAAGCTAGAAATAAAGTGGTATTAATAAAGGAAGGAGATAGCCAAGAAAGATAAGATAATGATGTAATTAATGAAATGATCAAGATTTATTGTATAAGGTATTCTTCCATCTCTGTGTGTGTGTGTGTGTGTGTGTAAACATTATATTAAATTGATTGGAACATGTATACGATAAAACAACCGTACATTAGCATTAAGTTAATCTAGCTTATGTAAATTGCCATACTAGTTTTTTATAACCTAACACACTCTATTACCGACAAATAATAACTAACTAATAACAGTAATACAGCTCTCTATAATAACGTAATAGATCTCTTTTAATGAATCTGTAAATAATAATAGTAATAATAATAATAATACAAGATGGTACATAAGACACGTTATCATATTAATGTATTCTATTTTAATTAATACAATAAGCATTACAGTAAATAATAATACAATAGTCATCAACAAACAATAGTCAATAATAAATACTACGTGAACTGCATCTCCTGAGTGACTTCTGCACCACCTTGTATAACCTCCTCGCCAGGTACTAATGACCAGGTGTTTATGACGTCATATAGTGTAATATTTTGGACGATAATCTTGTATCCGAATGTCTTATAATACTAGATGTTTAACTCTTTTTCTGTGTTTATTATTATCCTTTCATCAGTGTGTTTAATGTGTAGTATTAATGAGATATACATACATACATACATACACCTGCACACAACACAACATCTATACAACACAACATCAACACAACACACAAAACACGACATCAATACAACATCGTCACTATGCACTTTGCATTTGGCGGCGAATTTGACTTTTTATTTTACTTTGAATTTAACTTTGAATTTTACTTTGAAATTTCTCCCTGGATGACTTCAAATGTTATCATCACTGTTATGGTTATGTTGTCATAGTTATGGTGTTATAGTTTTAAAGTAATAATGTTATTTTATATATCTTTTAGCCTTCATAGAGGAAGAGGTGTTCAATATATGTCCTCTTCAACTCCTCATCAAAATCATTTATTTTATCATCATTATTTTACAAGATTTTGGTGGAGGAAAGAAATTTAGGAAGGAATGAAGTGAAAAAAAATATTATAAATTAAAAAAAAATTGACCTGGAAACTAATTCTATACTTATATATAAAAAAAAATGAATGTACTGTATAAATAAGAAACTTCAAATCAACTCCTGAATAAGATAAGCAAGACACAGTACCATACATTAACTCGTCCCTGAGGATACTGGTTATATGTATAGGAATAAATGACTCAAACTTGATGCATGTGACACAGGTGAATGATGGGGTGATATGAGAGGTGTTTATGAATATGTGTAGTAGTACCACTAGCCCTCAGTATGTGTAGTAGTACCACTAGCCCTCAGTATGTGTAGTAGTACCACTAGCCCTCAGTATGTGTAGTAGTACCACTAGCCCTCAGTATGTGTAGTAGTACCACTAGTACCACTAGCCTCAGTATGTGTAGTAGTCAGTATGTGTAGTAGTACCACTAGCCCTCAGTATGTGTAGTAGTACCACTAGCCCTGAGTATGTGTAGTAGTACCACTAGCCCTCAGTATGTGTAGTAGTACCACTAGCCCTCAGTATGTGTAGTAGTACCACTAGCCCTCAGTATGTGTAGTAGTACCACTAGCCCTCAGTATGTGTAGTAGTACCACTAGCCCTCAGTATGTGTAGTAGTACCACTAGCCCTCAGTATGTGTAGTAGTACCACTAGCCCTCAGTATGTGTAGTAGTACCACTAGTGCCACTGGCCTGAATATGTGTAGTAGTACCACTAGCCCTCAGTATGTGTAGTAGTACCACTAGCCCTCAGTATGTGTAGTAGTACCACTAGCCCTCAGTATGTGTAGTAGTACCACTAGCCCTCAGTATGTGTAGTAGTACCACTAGCCCTGAGTAGATTTACGTACAAGCCTCCCAAACTAGAGGTGGCCATGCTGAGGGAAGGTCAGTGGGCCGTGTAGGATTCCTCCATTATTCTTGATAGTCTTTGTCAAGGACTATTTTGAAGCACAGTATTGTTCTTGATTCCATAGTTTGGGCTGGTGGACCGTTCCATAGGTCTACCAGCCTCTGTATAAAGAAGTATTTCCGTATGTTCGTTCCCTTTCAAGATTTTGAATGCCTAAGAAATCTGCCCCATTGTGTCTTATCTGAAGGGTTGTTAGTCCTAAGGCCCCTTGTCTACTTGGATAATCTAGATGACACAGTTCCGGAATTATCTTGATCGCTCTATGTTCCGTCTTTTCCAGGGATGTTCGGTCGTTCTGGAGGTAGGGTGTCCATGTCTCTATATAGTAATCCAGACTGGGACGTACCGTACATGTGAATTGTACAGCTGAAGGAGCATTTTCCTATCGTTGTATTCGAATGCACGCTTTGTTATTCCTAAATCTCGGTTGGCTTCTTTTCACTGTGCTCCCACTTGTTGCGCAGCCCAGGACAACGCCCAGATCTTTTTCCACTAGCCCTGAGTATACAGTATGTAGTGAGGCCATGTTTCTAATATACAGTACAGTACGTCTTTAACCTTCCAGGATACATTCATGTAACTATACATAATACTGACCATACCTTGAATAATATAAAAGTGTAAATTATTTAATAACTATGTTTATTGAGGGAGTTAATGTAGGTTTTAAGTTAGTATCCCCTCTCACTTACTCCATAATTCTTATATAAGAAAATGGAGTATTTTAAGGATCACTATTTTATTATGAAGTGTTCTGTCGCCTTCTGCTTATCACTGACCATCACACCTTGTACTGGTCTGTGGTGGCCTCGTCGCTTGTAAAGAGATCCTTGGAGTGTTAAGAACTCTCTATTGTTCTTAAAGAGAGATATAGTATCCAAGATAATTTGAAGGTAGAGAGGTTTGCCTGTCTCAGCATCTGTTGGTTAGAATTAGTCAAGTACTGAACAGGCTTCTGATGGACTGTGCGTACACCTGAGCATAAATCAAGGGACGATTGAGCTTGGACTTTGAGGAGATCAATTTTCGCGATAAGATCTTTAGTCAGAATTGCTTCTCTTGGATGACTCGGGCAGCCATAAAAACATAAGCGGGATATTTCTCTCAGAATGCCCAGTTTTCAGGACAATTATATCTCCATCTTCGCCGCAACTATTTGAAATTCGAAAAAAAACGTAGGACATTCGAAACATATATGATGTAATTTTGAAAGATATTTATTCACCAGAAAAAACGTGTGTGCGTGTGTGTGTGTGTGTGTGTGTGTTCATCAATGTTGCAAATGATAATCCAACGTATTTTAAAGTTTGTTTTCCTGTGAATGTTGTTATTGTGCACCCAAGTGAGGAGGTCTGGGACTAGCCACCACTTAGTTCTTGTACTCCATTTATACGGACATATAAGGAACGTTTTAAGTGTATTGATAATATATAAAATAACACTATACACTGTTATTGTATCGACGGTGATATATGATCACTATAACAGTATCCAGAGGAGCTTGAGGAAGGTCATGACTCCAGTCACTTTTAATCTGATAACGTTTTCAATTGAGGAAAATTATACATACATACGCGTACATTCATACATAGTTGTTAGTGGTACTGTACAGTGATAACATGCGTATTTCTTAACAGTATGTCCAGGGTTCGATTCCCGCTCCGATACCCAGTGTGACATTACCACAAACATGGCAGGTTTCCTCCAGGTACTGTAGTTTCCTCCTGTACTAACACTGGACAAGGAAACAACTCATCAGTACAAATGAGAGGAATAAACCAGCCACCGGTTTCCTTCCCTTGTCGAAGGTAAATTAATTAAAGATAGAAAATAGGTATCCAGGTGAAACGAGTAAACCGTTTTCTTTAATTCTCGTCGAGGTGACCAAAACTCGGTACCCAGGGAGACGACCCGGGGAGGAGACCAGACAAGTGATGGGCGGTGGACTTCCTGCAGCAAGCGTGCACCACTATCTCCGTCAGTAGGGTGGAGGTGGCCAAGATAACGCCGGTACCCAACACGTAGAATGCTCCCTGGACCTGCAGAAGACCTCACTGTTTATCAGGACTTACCACCCACACCATCGTCTGAAGAGTGAGGCTGCGGGCACTGTGGGGGCGCTAAGTGAGGCACGTTTCGGTACTAATTGAGGTATATATGGGTGCTAAGTGAGGTATCTTAAGGCGTTAAGTGAGGTATATTCAGGTGCTGGAGCGCTAAGTGAGGTATATTCAGGTGCTGGAGCGCTAAGTGAGGTATATTCAGGTGCTAAGTGAAGTATATATATGTGAGTATCAGAATATTTGGACGCTAAACGAGGTAAACCTGAATTAATGTGAGTTGCCAGATCACCGGATGAAATAAACCAGGATGGGTGTGAGTGAGGACTTACCTGAGCCAGGGACATAGGTTCGGGTCCCACTTGTCGCTGGACGCTCTCACAGGGCAGCTGGTAATACTGTTTCTGCATGTGACCGATAATACCACCGTGACGTAGACGACGCATGCTGCAGGAGACAAGAGCCATCATGTCTTTATTTTACCTGAAGGATAACCACCCATACACACACCTCACCACACCCCTGTACACACACACACACACACCTCACCACACCTGTACACACACATCTCACACACACCCCTGTACACTCACACACACCTCACCTGTACACACACACACACACACACACCTCACCACACCTGTACACACACACCTCACCACACTGTACACACACACTCACCACACCCCTGGCCACACACACACACCTCACCACACCTCATCACTTATGTCACTTGTATATTATTTGTAATTCGTAACCCATTCCCCAAATATGTAACTGTATATTTTCAGCCTTCTGGCTGCCAAGCTCTTTCAATAAACCGTTAATTATTATTATTATTATTGTACACATCTGTACCTATACACATATCTGAACACACAGAAAACTCTAAACACACACACCTGTACACAACCCTATACACACTCCTGCACACACCTGAACACGCCCTATACAACACTAGACACATAAACAAACACATACTTCAGGAACCAACATAACCCCAACATAACGTAAATACAACCCCCAAATAACCCCAACATAACCTCAACATAACTAACATAAAACCAACACCAACCTCAACATAACCCCAACATAAAACCAACATAACCTCAACATAACCCCTTTAAGCTGACCATGGTGAACAAGCTTACTCACATCTCGTCGAACTGGTGTATAAGGAAACTGTTGCGGGCGAAGGCGAAGGTGTCAAAGTCGACCCTGACCAAGTGGCGAGCAAGGTGGTACTTACACTGCTCGCCACGCCTCTCATACTTCTGTGCCCGACCCACCGCTGAGCTGTACGTATCTGAGTGTGGTGTGATTAGGTTAGATTACGTTGAATTTAGGTTAGGTTAGGTTGGATTTCAGTAAGGTTAGGTATATACAATAATATAATACATGCATACATAGATATTCGGTAAAATCTCCCTACAGGTATGTATAGTACGCGGAATACATACTCACTTACCTGTAGACTCATGTATACCTCAGATACTCACCCAGTTTAATCACTTACCTGAGTCACCTGTATATTCACCTAATACACCTCCATGACTCACCTAGGAGAGCGTAGGTACCATCAGCCACCTTACTCAGGAACTGCCAGGTGGTGAGGACTTCTGATTCCACCGTCTTCATCCTCGCCTTCAGTTGGCCAAGGACACCTCCCTTCTGCTTCTGAGGGAGGAGGTAACAAGAGACATAGGTAAGGGAGACAGGTATTAAGACATAGGTAAAGTGACAGGTATTAAGACATAGGTAAGTGGACAGGTATTAAGACATAGGTAAGTGGACAGGTATTAAGACATAGGTAAGTGGACAGGTATGACAATAATTGGACTGCATGGTCATAATTACAATGGTGTGACTTGAGGATAATTTATGATAGAGTAATTATATAATACATAATAATTATATCGACGTAACAAAGCGAGTGAAGCAAAGTGAACGTATAGTGAGTAGGTGGGATTAATTATAGTAATTAGCTGTGAATAATTATTGTGATTAGCTGTGATTAATTATAGTGTTTAGCTGTGATTATAGTGATTAGCTGTGATTAATTATGGTGATTAGATGTGATTAATTATAGTGTTTAGCTGTGATTATAGTGATTAGCTGTGATTAATTATGGTTATTAGATGTGATTAATTATAATGATTAGATGTGATCAATTATAGTGTTTAGCTGTGATTATAGTGATTAGCTGTGACTAATATGGTGATTAGATGTGATTAATTATATTGATTACCTGTGATTAATTATAGTGATTAACTGTGCTTAATTATGGTAATTACTATTAATTATAGTGATTAGATGTGATTAATTAGTGATTTGCTGTGATTAATTATAGTGATTAGATGTGAGTAATTATAGTGATTACCTGTGATTAATTATAGTGATTTGCTTTGACTAATTATAATGTTTAGCTGTGATTAATTATAGTGATTTCCTTTAATTATACTGACTAACTTTGATATATTAGGGTGACACACACTAATAGATTAATTGACTCAGTAATTATTAGAGCAACTCACTATAAAAGAGTAATTATAGCAACTCAATAATTAAGTATAACGACTCATATATTATAGGGACTCACTAAAATGAAGTTATAGACGGTGGTTTTGGCCCTGAAGACTGGAGTCATGTCCCTCTGTACCAGGTCTTCTGCTGAGTTGACTGGAACTGACCTGTTGGTAGTTACATAGGTCAGGTCACATGATACAATTGACCTATTGGTAGTTACATAGGTCAGGTCACATGATAAAACTAACCTAATGGTAGTTAAATAGGTCAGGTCACATGATAAAACTGACCTAATGGTAGTTACATAAGTCAGGTCATATAATAAATTAACCTGACCTCTTTGGGTGATTAACTAGTCACACACAAAACATAACAACAGAGAACGACAAGACAGCCTCATACTCTTATGCTAATCACTGTAATAATTAACAATAATGATAATAATCTGCCTGGTGGACCAAATTATACAAGGTGCTCAGAGTTAAGTGACCTTACGTAAATTATTGTACAGATTATGTCAAGGAGGATTATTAGAATATTTTAATTTGATCTAATGAGTGTAATTTGAGTAGTTTAGTAATTATGTACTGAATGATGTCGGAATTATTAATCATGTGGTTGTTAGGTTATTTAATTGTTTGTTTGTTTGTTTTTGTTATAAGTTGTTGGTTTTCTTTTGTTTGTTGGTGATTTGGGATTTTGTTAGCTCGTCTTTGGTAATTACGACGTGGTGAAATATTATACGCCACCATCACTAACACCACTATGCCACCATCACCACTATACTACTATCACCAACAGCACCACTACACCACCAAACCATTACAGCAGTTACACCACCACCAGCACCAGCACCCAAGACCTACCTGAAGGGGATAGCGAGGAAGGCAGTGATGAAGCCACTGTACAATGACCCCACCACCAGTGCCACCAACATGACCACAGCGCTCACCACCCGCCCACTGGGGTTACGTGGCCAACACCTGCTACCTGAGGCGATAAAACAGGTGTCGTGTTATTAAAGTTAATAATGTATTTTAACACCTGTGATAGCCCTGTTAATACTAAATTGTTTTTACTTGTGACAATATTATTTAATGTCGTATGTATACTACTAACACAAACATATTTTTTTACGGGGAATAGCCCACCCGGGTACAGGGGCCGAGGGGGGGGGGGTGGGTAAGAGTAAAAATAAATTAAAAATAGAAGAAGAAAAGGTTATAAATACAGACACACAGTTGCACACACACACACACACAGGTCTTACTTTGGTAGAGGAAAATTTTGAAGACGGAGGTGAAACATTTGACTGGTTGGGGGCCGCCCACACGGTCGCCACCCACACTCCTGCCTCCTCCCGCCCAACTGCCCAACAACCGAGCCTCAGCCACCACTACACCGCCCACGAACACACCCGCAGCCATCGCCACACCCACCAGACACGCCCACACCTGCAACACACACAAGTCACTATAGATATTCAGCTTGGATCAGTTTCGTCAGGAAGGTCATCACCACGTCAGGAAGGTCATCACCACGTCAGGAAGGTCATCACCACGTCAGGAAGGTCATCACCACGTCAGGAAGGTCATCACCACGTCAGGAAGGTCATCACCACGTCAGGAAGGTCATCACCACGCCAAGAAGGTCATCACCACGTCAGGAAGGTCATCACCACGTCAGGAAGGTCATCACCACGTCAGGAAGAGCCTTACCAGCGGGGAGAAGATGTTGAGGAGGAGGAAGGGCCTGACGAGGATGGAGGGCGCCTCACACAGGATCACCACGCCGTCCATGCTGTAGGGCTCACCGAACTCCACCACCTGCGACCTCTGGGCATCCGGGCTGAAGTCCAGAGGGCCCATGTCCGCCTCCTGTAACGACGAGGTGAGGGGGATTGATGGGCTGGTGAGGGAGGGATGGGAGTGTGAGGGAGAGAGAGGAAGGGTGAGGGAGGGATGGGAGTGTGAGGGAGACGTTATGGGAGGAGGGTCTTTATGGTCGCTACTCCTCATCGATTTCTGTATTAAAATGCCCTTGCCTCTTACCACCACATCCTGGGTTCAGTCCCCGGTTTTGAGTCAGATATGAGAAAGGTGTCATTATCCAGTAAGGTTTTCTCAGGGTACATCAGTTTCCTCTTGTACCAACACTGGATATTAAAGTTCATAATAAAGTAACAAAAACAAAAGAAAAAAGATCAATCACCCGAACCGCTAGTAAGATAATAAATGTTAGAAATGATAAGAGAAAAAATTTAATGTTAGGTCAGTCAGTAATCCCAACGACTAAGTATTATCAAGGCTCTATAAATCCCGTTTTCTTGGAGGACTAACTTGTCTAGACAGGACGCCGATCATTCCATTCCAGGAGCCGTTCTCGATGATAGAGCCGAAGCCGACGACAGGCAGGATGACATCAGAGAAATTCAGCCGCTTCTGGATCAGCCGAAGGAGGTCAGCAGCGTACCCACGAGCGTCAGCCAGCCTAGTTGCATTGTCAGCGAACTCAAACACCGTCGGTTTCTGTGTCAGCGAGTGTCAGGAGGGAGAGATACACTGGTTACTATGACTTGTAATGAGCTGATACCATACTGCTGTTAAGGGTTATTATTATTATTATTATTATTATTATTATTAGTAGTAGTAGTAGTAGTAGTAGTAGTAGTAGTAGTAGTAGTAGTAGTAGTAGTAGAGCAAGACGGGAAGCAAAACACCGATGACGTTGCAAGAAAGTTTGGAAACAAAATGCGTGTGGGAAAAGTGTCTCTGTGGAAGGTATGGCTATAAAGGGAGGATGGAGGCCATTGTAAAGAATAGTAGTAGTAGTAGTAGTAGTAGTTATCACTATTATCATCATTACTACAACAAGAGGTACAATACACTTGCTCTCCCTCACAGTACAGTTCCTCAGTGATCACCAGACAGACAGACAGACAGACAGACAGACAGACAGACAAACAGACAGACAGGCGGACTACCTGAGTACAGGTGAGCCGAACGACCCTCTGGTGCAGGTTGTAGGAGAGGGGCGGCCACAGTGGTCTGTAGGTGTCTAGGTGTTGGTTAGTCCACGAGGCCGCCACTACCAGCCGCCACGATCCGTCTCCTGGAGCCTCCACCCCGCCCACCGCCACCCACCTGTAGAGAGGGACACCTGTTACAGCCTCCACCCACCTATTAAGATCCTTTATCCACAAGTGGGTTAGGTAAGGTTAAGGCTTGTTAAGGCGGGGCCATTTTCACCTACGATGGACCCCAGTTCTTATGGTTAGGTTAGGTTAGGTTACTTTAAGTTGGGTTAGTTTAACTTGCATTATGTAGATTATATATCACATGAGTTTAGGTTAAGTTAGCTTAGATTAAGTTAGATTAGCGTTAGGGTGTCTAATATTCAGGTTAAATAAGCTGGGGTGTCTAATATTCAGGTTAAATAAGCTGGGGTGTCTAATATTCAGGTTAAATAAGCTGGGGTGTCTAATATTCAGGTTAAATAAGCTGGGGTGTCTAATATTCAGGTTAAATAAGCTGGGGTGTCTAATATTCAGGTTAAATAAGTGGGGTGTCTAATATTCAGGTTAAAGGGGGTGTCTAATATTCAGGTTAAAAGCTGGGGTGTCTAATATCAGGTTAAATAAGCTGGGGTGTCTAATATTCAGGTTAAATAAGCTGGGGTGTCTAATATTCAGGTTAAATAAGCTGGGGTGTCTAATATTCAGGTTAAATAAGCTGGGGTGTCTAATATTCAGGTTAAATAAGCTGGGGTGTCTAATTTTCGTGTAGTCCGAGTGAACGATGGTAATACTCACGGGGTTATTGTTGTTGTTCGTTGTTTACGTCCAACATGAGCTGACAGGGAAACATTACCAGCTGAGGATGTTGACTGTTGGTGTAGGTCAGCCAGCAGGACTCCCCTCATACCCTCCTGCAGCGCGTCTGACACCACATCGAGGGCGTGAAGGAAGGACTGGGACATGGGGGCGGTGCTAGACAAGATGGAGTTATGGTGCCTCGTGATAATTTTCTCAGCGTTGAAGGGTTGTGACTCTGATGTTTTGGTTCTGCTAGAGATGAAGGCAGCACCAGCAGGAGGAGATGAAGGAGAGGAAGAAGAAGAAGAAGAAGGAACTACCCTGATGCTATGCCTGTCGGGGATATCTGAGGCCAGGTTTAAGGGGGCGGTGATCACGGGGAAGGAGGAGGCAGCAGGTAATGATTCTGGGGTCGTCGGGAGGCTGGTTGACACCCACATCCAACGAGTTCTCTGGAGGAAAAGAAGGTGAAGAAAATACAAATCTGGGCGTTGTATGTTGTAGTGAGAAGGAACTGTTGTAAAGTTGTGATTTATTGAGAGAGAGAGAGAGAGAGAGAGAGAGAGAGAGAGAGAGAGAGAGTAACCTATGTGACCTTCCTGACTCCATGTTGCGTGAAATATCTGAGTACGATAACTTAACCCCTTGAGTACGATGACTTAACCCCTTGAGTACGATAACTTAACCCCTTGAGTACGATAACTTAACCCCTTGAGTACGATGACTTAACCCCTTGAGTACGATAACTTAACCCCCTGAGTACGATGACTTAACCCCTTGAAAACTATTACTTAACCCCTTGAATATAATGACTGAATCCCTAACCTAACCTAACCTAACCTAAAGTAATCAAAGATTCCAAACTCACCATAGAATTAATTTTTCCCGAGTTGTAGAGCGGCTTCACCTGTGGGCATTAATTACCAGGTGTCAGTGACGTGTGTTGTGTGAGACTGCCTTCGTCCACACACACACACACACACACACACACACACACACACACACGCATCACCGTCAACATAACCTTACCTGGGCCACTATACCACAATACCTGCACCACTATATCAATACCTGCGCCACTATACCACAATACCTGCACCACTATATCAATACCTGTGCCACTATACCACAATACCTGCACCACTATATCAATACCTGCGCCACTATACCACAATACCTGCACCACTATATCAATACCTGCGCCACTATACCACAATACCTGCACCACTATATCAATACCTGCGCCACTATACCACAATACCTGCACCACTATACCTGCACCATAATAGTTGAGATCCAGTAAATGTCGCCCACCAGGATGTGTTGGGAGGGTAAGAGGTAAGACGACTGCTGCAGGAGGCCCCACCAGTGTGTGTACCCCATCACCGCCACCCCGACACCCTTCTCCCACAGCCCCTCCACCAGGCAGCTCTCTGTCCAGTGATCAATGTTACTTATTACTAATATATAACGTTCTTATCTGCGTTAGTCAGCTCTATGTGAATTTATATTATATACGATTAATGTTTCCTGTACATACATATATATAATTAACGTCTTCTACATACATTTTATTAACGTCTCCTGTACACACACACAATTTACCTGGGTCATGCTGGGTTACAAGGTGTAGGTGTGTAGGTGTGATAGTATTTATCATGTCAATCACGGCGGCCACCAGGTCTGACCCTATCTCACACCTCATCCCTCCTCCTGAAGACCCAACCAGCTTATTGGCCCGCACAGCTTGAGACCGCAGGAAACCTAGAGGTCTTGTGGAGAACTGTGACTGCGAGAAGACGTCAGAATCCTGGAGTGGTCCTGTGGCCGCTCCAACACCTGTAAATATATAATGAAATATATAGTTTGGAACATAAGATTGACCACTATATGAGGGGATGAGGTTAGCTTAGGTTAGATTAGATTAGCTTTAGGTTAGGTTAGGTTAGGTTAACATAAGAACATAAGAATGGAGCAAACTGCAGCGGGCCTATTGACCCACACTGGGCAGTCCTGTTTACACCCAACCCCTATCGCTCACATATCCATCCAACCTATGATTGAAGCTATCCAGCGTGTTCGAGTTAATGATGATGTTTCGTAACTTGTTCCATTCATCCACTACTCCGTTACCAAACCAATGTTTACCTATTTCACGCCTAAATCTAAATTTGTCTAATACAAAACCATTGTTCTCTTTCACCCTCACCCCCCTCCCCCTTCATCCACGTCCTCCTACACCCCCTCCCCTTCACCCCGTCCTCCTACACCCCACGTCCTCCTTCACCCCACGTCCTCCTACACCCCCCCTCCCCTTCACCCCACGTCCTCCTTCACACGTCCTCCTACACCCCACGTCCTCCTACACCCCCCCCTCCCCTTCACCCCGCGTCACGCCTCCTACACGTCCTCCTACACCCCACATCCTCCTTCACCCCACGTCCTCCTTCCCCACGTCCTCCCACCACCCCACGTCCTCCTACACGTCCTCCCTTCACCCACGTCCTCCTGCACCCGCGTCCTCCTTCACCCGCGTCCTCCTTCACCCACGTCCTCCTTCACCCACGTCCTCCTTCACCCACGTCCTCCTTCACCCACGTCCTCCTACACCCATCTTCTCTTCCTCCACCCTTCTCCTCCTTCACCCTCCACTGACCAAACAACCTCCCAGAAAGTCGTTAAAAGGAGTTGTTTAACGACCCTAAAGCATCAAATTATCTATCATAACTACGTCAATTACATATCGTAACTACGTCAATTATCTATCATAACTACGTTAATTACATATCGTAACTACGTCAATTATATCTATCATAACTACGTCAATTATCTATCCCAAATATATCAATAGACAATACAACCATCTATCAGGACAGATTCACTTTGCTTTGAATATTTTAGTATGTTAGCTCAGTATGCTGTAAGTACTCTATCTATCTATCATGAAACACGTAGAGATGTATATTAATTTTGGGGGTGAACACGGAAAACACACGTCAATAATTCTCTGTCTGTTTCTCTGTCTGTCTGTCTGTTTCTCTGTCTGTCTGTCTGTTTATCTGTCTGTCTGTTTGTCTATCTGTCTGTCTGTTTCTCTGTCTCTCTCTCAACACAAAACAGAACCATTGACACATCATAGAAAACGTATTGAACTTAAGACAATGAAGGGGGATAACTGAGCCAAATACGACTTTAATGATTCTTAATTATCGTCCTTAACACTAGAGTGGTGTCTGGTGGGGGCAAGATACTGTGTTTAATCAATCTGGCAACGAAATTAAACCCTTCCGGACACATTAGCAACGGTAAGTAAAAAAAAAAATAATAATAAAAAGTTAAAAAATAGAAAAGTAAAAAAATAAAATAGTAAATAAATAAAAGTCAAAATAAAAAAGTTACAAAATAGAAAAGTAAAAAAAAATAAAATAGTAAATATAAAAGTAAAAATAAAAAAAAATCGTAAAAAGTAAACAAAATAAATGAAAAAAAGTAAAACTAAAAATATAAAATAAAAGTTTGTCAGATAGTAAGAAAGGCGCATCGTTATTGGCGAGATGTTTATTGATTGTTTTCGTCATTTGGGCCACAGTGAGAGCTTTTACCTTAATGCAGGTGTGGAGGTAATTATAGTGTGGCAGAAGAGTACAGTACAGGTGTGTAGGTGATATTGGGTGTGGTGAGGATCAATGGGTATCTGTAGGGAGGTAAATATATATTATTTTATGAGTTTAATGGGTAAGATATGAGTGAATAGGTGTTGGTTTTTTTTTACTGTACTGTCTATCACACACTAACGCGATCATCATTGGGAATTCGATCTCTCAAGTCCATTACAACCAACCAAGAAGTTCTAATGCAGGTGTTGTAACGACTGAACCATCATTGAACTATGAGGTAATATTTGTCTTATTTCTTTCAGTGTTGTCATACTTTAAACACACACACACACACACACACACACACACTACTCCTACTACTTCGCTGTCACTTGGAATCGAGTATGACGATCATCCAGCTATGATACAATGATATGAGTTATTAAGGATGTCACCTTCAGCAGGTTGGTGAGTTTTGAGGTGACTAAAGAGACCGATACGGCAGGGCCGTCCATAGATGTTGCACGTGTGGAGGGCTACATCTAGTGCGGGAGGGGCGACGGCAGCGTCTTTCCGGCGTTGGCGCTTGTCTGCCTCGGTATGCAGTCGAGCTAACTCGAAAGTATTGACACCTTCTCGTGTGGTGCTCCTCCAAGCGTTACGGTGTGGAGTAATCGTCTCCCAGGTGAGGGGGTCGATTTGCACTTTTTCAGGTTTGTCTTAAGACTATCCTCATACATATTCAGTTGCCCGCCGGCGTTACGTTTACTATTCGTTAGGTGACTGTAAAGTAGCCGCTTTGGCAGTCTACTGTCGTCCATGAGGGTAACATGGCCAGTCGAACGTAGTTGTTCATGGATAATGGTAGCCTCGATGCTCCTACAGTTGGTGTCAGCAAGAATACTGGCATTACAGGAAGCTTTAAAAAATGCACTACAGGATGATTTAAATAAACTGCAGGAGTGTTCAGAAAAATGGCAAGTGAAATGCAACACCAGCAAGTGCAGCATACTTAATATTGGAAGAACAAATACTGTCAATGTATACAGCCTTAACAACATCAACCTAGAGAAGTCGAATTGTGAAAGAGACTTAGGGGTACTTGTAAGCCCGGACCTACGGCCTAGAAAACAGTGCGTTAATGTTCGAAATAAGGCAAACAGAGTATTAGGTTTTATATCTAGAAGTGTAAGTAATAAGAGTGCAGAGGTCTTATTGCAACTATATCTTGCACTAGTCAGGCCGCACCTCGATTATGCGGTTCAGTTCTGGTGCCCTTACTATAGAATGGATATCAATTCACTGGAATTTATTTGGAAACAGTTAATAAAGAAGATGATCTATAAGTATTAATGACAAGTAATCCATAATTTAGTGACCACATCTCAGAAATAAGGAGGCTAGATAGATTCATGGATGATAGAGAGTGGTAGTAACTCTCGACAGGAGCTGCCATGCACAGACCAACCGGCCTATTGGAGACTCCTTATTTTCTTATGTTCGTATGTAATAAAAAGAAAGACTTAGTGAATGTTGGGCCTGATTAAACCTTCCTTTGACTACATGTGCCTGGAATCATTCTTAATACTTACGTGAGGCCGCACTTAGAATATGCTGTATAAGGATGGTCCCCAGACCTTATAAAATATATAGATACTATAGAAAAAATACAAAGAAGAGCCACCAAAATTATTCTTGAATTCAGAAATCTACCCTACGAAGAAAGACTACACCAGCTATTGTACACTGGAAGAGAGAAGAAAGAGAGGCGAACTGACAGGAACATAAAATAATGAACGGAGTTGAAGTTGAAGATATCAATAATAATTGCACACAGATCCATGAAGAAAATCTCAACAGGTTAAGGAGCAACGATAGAAAATATAAGAAACAAAACACAAACAAAATACGAGGAAATATTTCTTCTCACAACAAGTGGTAACATATTTTCAAACGATACAATAAATTCGACCATAGTCAACCAACTTAAGACAAATGATGAAAACACGTAACATTGACCTATAATGAAAAAAGAAGCAATAAAAAGACCAGAGATAACTTTAGAGGCGAGCACCAGGTACAAACTAGTCTGGTAAGTTTATACTGATAACTTATACTGATAACTTATACTGTTAACTTATACTGATAACTTATACTGTTAACTTATACTGATAACTTATACTGTTAACTTATACTGATAACTTATACTGTTAACTTATATGCCTGATCTGTTTATGCAATTTTTTTGTAGACTTGTATTATTCATGTATATCATTTGTATATTTACATCGTCTATGTATACGTACACTCTTTGTATACATAACCTAAGCACCCGCTCTCAGGTGTTCCCTAAACCTTTATCTCATGTTACCTGGTAGTGCAGGTAACCTGACTCACCTGAAGAGTAGCTCATCACCGTCCTCAATAGGTGGAGGAGGCCCAGAGTCACTACCACCATTAGTGACCTCTGACCTGACGATGACCTGACCCCCCGAGCCATCATGACACCTCGTCACCACTTGATTTCCGTGTCCTCAATGGTGTGATCTGAAAAGTAACCTGAAAAAGGGGAAAAAATAACACCGTTGATTTTGCTCATCCCAACGAAAACAAAGATGTGTGTGTGTGTGTGTGTGTGTGTGTGTGTGTGTGTGTGTGTAATAATAATAATTAATAATAATAATTAACGGTTTATTGGAAAAGTTCTGCAGCCCGAAGGCTGAAAATATACATTGGACATAAATGACTTATTACATACATTGGTGGTTTAACAGAAGCCTTCATTAGAGAAAGGTGAAGGAACATACAGTGAACATACAGATTATTGTAGGTGTTGAACAGCAAACACGTAGTGTAGTAACTCCCTCCCAGATGGTGTTATGAGGGGCCTCACGTGGTGTAGTAATTCCCTCATAGATGGTGTTATGCGGGGCCACACGTGGTGTAGTAATTCCCTCACAGACGGTGTTATATGAGTGAGGTGTGGCCCCAGGCCTTCCTATCGTAGACGGATTAACACATCGCTGGTTGTCATGGGCCGTTATCACTGGGTACCTGGGACCTCACTGTGTGAAGGTTAACTTGGGTACAACTGTTACTGTTGAGTTGTTCTCACTGACTTAAGCACTGTTCACCTCTGTTTAACACTGGTTCCGTTCCTTTCCTAAATGAAATTGTAACTTCTGGCGAGAACTTGTTGATATTCCGGTGGGGAGGAGGGTTCAGGGGAGGGGGTTGGTATGGGCCAACTTAACAGTTGACCTGGCTGCTCCGAGAGGAGCGCCAGGTACGTCTTGACCCTTCGGTGGTCACGTGAGTGTGTGTGTGTGTGTGTGTGTGTGTGTGTGTGTGTGTGTGGGTGTGTGTGTGTGTGTGTGTATCTGACCCAACTTGGAGAAGGTCGAGCCTCCAAGTGCTCCCGTTAGTGACCAGGGAAAATGGCCGCCTTGGATCGTTGTGTCTTGGGGGAAGAGGAGGGGAGTGTAGGGAAAGACGACCTACTGGCCACTCTGTTAAGGCAGCTGGGGCAGTTGAGGAGTGAGCTTGACGCTCTAAATGGGAAAAATGAAGCCCTCAGGACTGAACTCCTTCAGGTAGGTGTCCTGCCTAGCAGGACACCTGCGAAGGAGGAGCAGGCGTGGAGAGTGGTTGTCTCCAAGGGGACTAGGGTCAGGCTCAGGAAAGCTGACCAGGGTGTGGAGTGTAGGAACCCCTACCAGGTGTTGGAGGAAGCTGGCGAGGAAGAGAAGAGGCAGGACGGTGTGGTGCCAGGAGAGGAAAGGGCAGTTGTACAAACCCTGCCCACAGGTAAGGTCGTGGTAGTTGGGGACAGCCAGGTGAGGTTTTTAGATAGGACTTTTTGTGTAAGAGACAGGAAACGTAGGACTAGGGTGTGTTTTTCTGGGGCTGGGATAGGGCGTGTAGCTGAGAGGTTAGGCAGGGTTTTGTCAGGGGAGGGAACCAATCCAGAAGTGAGTCTTAGTGTGGGAGGAAACGACATAGGAAAGGTTAGGAGTGAGGAAGTTTTCAAGAGGTATAGGGAGGCGCTGGGGAAGGTTAGAGATAGGGGAGGGATCCCGATAGTATGTGGTGTCTTGCCTAGAAGAGGGGTTGGTGGTGAATGGCTGTCCAGGGCAATTGCTATAAATTGCCCAATGGAAAAACATTGTGCAAACAATGGTTGGGCATTCATTGATAACTGGCGACGATTCTATGGCAACGACTACCTGTACAGTCGTGACGGAGTACACTTGTCTCGTGCGGGGGTAAAGACGTTGTCTGCATCCCTGGAGCGTGAAATTGTCACTCCAAAGGGGGGGTTTCGCCAGTAGAGAGAGGTCGGGGAAAGTGGGAGTCAAAAAACAAGCAGGTCCTGGGAAGTAAAATTAGTTACTCAGGACAAGGGGTAAAACAGGACCAGGGAAGGGTAGGCTTAAATGTATACTATACAAACAGTAGGAGCGTTAGAAATAAAATAGACTTGCTGAGAGCGGTTGTATGTACCGAGAATGTAGACGTCATAGCAATCACCGAAACTTGGATGAATCTGGCGAGCAAAATTTTTTTATCAGAGTACCACATAGTAAGGTACAACCTTTTTCACAAGGACAGGGAAGGTAGGAAGGGGGGAGGGGTCGCACTCTTCGTCAAGGATACATTAAAATGTTGTATTAATAATTCAATAAAGGGTGAAATAGGAACTGAGTCTGTATGGGTAGAAATCACGGAAGGAAGAGAAAAACTAATTATGGGAGTGATTTACAGGCCCCCAAGTCTGGGCAAAGAAGCAGCTCAGCCCATATGGCAGGAAATGAGTAGGGCAGCAAAATATAACAACCTGTGCATTATGGGGGATTTCAACTTCAGAAATATTGACTGGGACAACATTGTAGGTGACTATGAATCTGAAGACTTCCTAGACGCAGTACAGGAAAAAATTTTTAAACAACTAATTACAGAACCTACGAGAGGTGACAATATATTAGACCTAGTATTAACAAATAAAGAAAATATTATCAGAGATATCACAGTAGGGGAAGAACTAGGGAACCGTGATCAGAGAAATCAGGTTCACCCTAAATTGGGAAACGAAAAACAATGACAATATGGTCAGAGCCCCAGACTTTCGGTTGGCGGATTATCAGGGGTTAAGAAGGTACCTAAGAACATAAGAACATAAGAATGGAGGAAACTGCAGTGGGCCTATTGGCCCATACTGGGCAGTCCCGTTTACGCCCAACCCCCATTGCTCATATAAGCATCCAACCTATGTTTGAAGCTATTCAGCGTATTCGATTTAATGATGATATTTGGTAACGTGTTCCATTCATCCACTACTCGGCTTCCAAACCAGTGTTTACCTATTTCACGCCTAAATCTAAATTTGTCACCTGGGAACAGTCACGTCAGTCACCAGTAGGAAGGGGTGAGGTCATAGATGACACAACAATTGATCATGACTATAATATATTCACTAGTATACTACATAAAGCACAAGAACAAAATATACCATACAGAAAAATTTGGTCAAATACGAATGAGCCAAGGTGGATGACCAGAAAACTTAACATAGGAATAAAGAAAGGAATATATAAGAAATTAAAGGGAGGGGAGGAGCAGCTCAGAAATAGGTATAATGAACTATCTAGGAATGTTAAGAAAAATGTAAGGAAAGCAAAGAGAGACTATGAAATCAAAATAGCAAGAGAATCCAAGGCGAATCCCAAGGGATTTTTCCAGGTATATAGAACAAAGGTCAAGGGCAAAGTTGGGCCTTTAAAGTCAGGGAGGGGGGAAGTGATAAATGGCAGTGAAGAAATAAGCAAAGCATTGAACAGCTACTTCATATCAGTTTTCACAGGAGAAATTCGAGATGAAATTCCAGAGGTGGAACTGATATTTAAGGGAAAGGAAGAAGAGAAATTAAAGAATATCACTATCAGAAAAGAGGGTGTTCTTAAGAAGATAAATAAACTAAAGAAGACAAAATCCCCAGGGCCGGATGAAATTTTCCCTCGAGTCTTGAAAGAGTGTAGGGAACAGATTAGCGGACCCCTCGTAAACTTATTTACAAAATCATTAGACACCGGAGTTGTGCCAGACTTGTGGAAACAGGCAAATGTAGTACCCATATTCAAAAAGGGAGACAGAGCATCAGTGTCAAATTACCGGCCGATCAGTTTGGTGTCATTAGTGGGGAAATTTCTTGAATCAATTTTAGCAGATAACATCGGATCGCATTTAGAAAAAAGCAAATTAATCTACGACTCTCAACATGGGTTTACAAAGGGAAAATCTTGTCTAACAAACCTGCTGACGTTTTTTAGGAAAGTCTTCGAGGTAGTAGATAATGACGAAAATTACGATGTTATTTACTTAGACTTTAGCAAAGCATTTGACAGAGTACCGTATCAGAGGCTTCTGAGAAAAATTAAAGCTCATGGTATCGACGGGAAAGTTTTAAATTGGATAAAATCATGGCTCACCGATAGAACGCAGAGGGTCAGCGTAGATGGTGTTAAATCTGAGTGGGGTCTTGTAACCAGTGGGGTTCCCCAGGGGTCAGTACTAAGCCCACTCTTGTTTATAATCTGCATAAACGATCTAGATACTGGGATCAGCAGTGACATTAGCAAGTTTGAGGATGACACCAAAATAGGGCGGCAGATTAATTCAGGGCAGGATGCAAATGCATTACAGGAGGATCTAAATAAACTGCAGGGGTGGTCTGAAAAATGGCAAATGAAATTCAACACCAGCAAGTGCAGCGTACTTAATATTGGAAGAACAAATACTGTCAATGTATACAGCCTTAAAAACATCAACCTAGAGAAGTCGCCTTGTGAAAGAGACTTAGGGGTACTTGTAATCCCGGACCTACGGCCTAGAAAACAGTGTGTTAATGTTTGAAATAAGGCAAACAGAGTATTGGGTTTTATATCTAGAAGTGTAAGTAATAAGAGTGCATAGGTCTTATTGCAACTATATCTTGCGTTAGTCAGGCCGCACCTCGATTATGCTGTTCAGTTCTGGTGCCCTTATTATAGAATGGATATCAATTCACTGGAGTCGGTGCAGCGAAGAATGACGAAAATGATTCCGGGACTTAGAAACCTTCCATATCAGGATAGGTTAAAGAAACTAAACTTGTATTCCCTAGAAAGACGAAGAGTGCGGGGAGATATGATAGAAGTATTTAAGTGGGTGAAAGGAATCAATAAAGGGGATATAGATAAAGTTCTTATAATATCCGAGCAGGATAGGACTCGTAGCAACGGATTTAAGTTGGATAAGTTTAGGTTTAGGAGGGAGATAGGAAGAAACTGGTACACAAATAGGGTGGTAGATGAGTGGAACAAGTTTAGCAACTTTGTAGTAAGTGCTGGAACTCTGGAAAGTTTCAAAAGGAGGCTAGACAGATTCATGGATGATAGAGGGTGGTAGTAACTCTCGACAGGAGCTGCCAAGCACAGGCCTATTGCAGACTCCTTATGTTCTTATTTACCCTTACAATGACTCTCACATGACCACACTGGAAGGTATGTGTACTAGGGATGGTT